AATTTTTAAATCTCTTTTTTGAATTTTTTATAATCATGGTCAACTAGTATATGCCCCCCCAGGCAATAATCCAGGGAAACTATATTTTTTCTGGAGCTGGAGATTACTAAGTAATCAGGCTTTTTAATACCTGGCTGGCTTTACTGGCCGGGTTATCTTCAAGTAGAGCTTAGTAGACTTCGCTCTTCAAGTCTTGGAGGCGCCGTGGTGGTAGATAAAGATATCTAGTAATACAGTATTCTGAGGACCTACAGTATAGACAGAGTCCTGTCTTACAGTATTTAGCTAGTATTTTTTTTAATACTTATTAGACTCATTAAGCAGGTCCTGTACTTACTGTTGTAGGTTTCCAATCCATAGCATCATTTATAATTACTTTCTTGGAAGTACTACCTGCCTAAGTGTTTAAGCATCCCGGTTGCTTTCCTGAAAGTCAGTTTACTTTTATGAGTTCATTAACTACCCGTTTAACTTGTCGGCAAAAGCCTTCAAAGTCTGGTTTCTATTTAATATCTATTATCTGTCAGCAGATATTGTCATTTAGAACTTAGTACAGGAGATTCTTTTTATTTAAGTTCTTCCAGCTGTACCCTCCGGCCTCGATTAGCAGGTTGTTGACTTCCACTAAGAGATTATTAACTGTTTGATTTTCTTGCTTGAGAGTAGACAGCTTACTAATAGCTTTTTCTTGTCAAGCTGGGTTCTTATAGATCAGTTTAAGATAATCAATTAAAGCTGTGGCTGAGAAGAATAAAATCTTGTGGTTGGCCTCCATCCATAGATTAATCTTTACTTTAATTTCTCTGTCCAGGAATATAAATATGTACCAGACCTGTTCAGCCGGCGTGCCAATGAATCATTAGTTAATCCTGATCTTTGTCCATACACCATTAAGCCAATTCAAGAACTTGCTTTTGTCCTTTCTATCAAAGCTCGCGGGTGTTGGTAACTTTGGTTTCTTTGCATCAGCCGGATCTTGGGCTGGTACCGATGCTGATGCCAATGCTGATATAGACAGGGATACTGTAGCAAACACCTGAGAAGACAGGAGTCGGATATTAATGAATTACTCAACCTGTTTGAGGCTGGCCCCAATCTTGTTATCTGTTATCATACTCTGTTAGGAGATGACACGTTGTATTTCTGTACTCTGGATTGTTAGTTCTTCGATGCGTTTAGCCAACTAGTCAATAATGTCGGCTTGGGTAGTGTCTCCATGGTGGCTGGAGGTATCTATTGATTCGTCGTGGTCGTTGCACATTGCCGGTCTATTATCTGATAGATACTTTAAAAGAGAACGAATTCAAAACTGTGACAGGCTAAGAAGCCGGAAGGACTACGTAAGGTACAGTAGTTGGTAGAGAAGTTGAATTCATTAGAGAAAGAACTATCTAATCTACGGACAGGTTAGTCCTTCTTATAGATAACTCTCCTGGGAGTTTTTCTTTGTAACTCCAGTAAACTCTTTCACTACTCTGGAGATTTCCATCCTTCTTACGGGTGTCTCCGGGTCAAGGTCCAGAACCAGACGGGTCGGAACATAGATGTTCCGATTCCAGATGGCTGACAGGGCCTAGCCCTTTTCAGAGAGAGAGTCAATATCTGCAGTAAGTACTACTGTTTGTAGTCTATTATTGCTATATCTTGCTCGAGGCCACTGATTGCTGTTATTAGTTAATCAGATCATAGTGTGGTAATAGGGAAATTATTTTCTTTTTGTGTACAGTTTCTGTGGCCTTATAGTGACAGTATTTATTAAAATATGAGGGAAGTGTAGACCTAAGTCTCTGAAAGTATCCGATTACGAAGAGTTGGTTATGCAAAAAGATAAATGAAACTCTGCTGTGTGTATGTAATTTTAGAAGTCTAGAAAATAATATATAGAGGCCTTCAGCCGCGTGCCTGTTTAACTGGGAATTCTAGCGCCTGCGTTGTTAATAATTTTTAATACTTTTATTTTATAATAGACACCACCGCCACTCTACGGTACACTAAATTTCTCTTTTATTATTGAATTTGATGGTTCAGTATACAAGGCCAACTTATAACCTTATAAACAGATATAGTTTATATAAAGATTACTATTCCCAGTCTGCTTTCATGCAGTATTCTAGAGAATCAGCTTCTAGAGAATATTATAGGTAGATACTTGGTTAAATATAAGGTATCTTTTGTTATCATGTCCAGTAATAATATAAGTTAACACAGAGTCAAGTGTTTCTCGGACATCAAAATAGAGGTAGAGGAAGACTAGAAAAAGATATCTGATCCTGTTTTAAGATAATAAGTATAAAACTGTCTTGTCCAATACTGATACTGTAAATTTTTTTATCTTACTCCAAGAAATTTTGCACTTTGGGAGAAAATAAATTAACTATTAATAAGCTTTAAGAAAAAGTTATAAAGGAAGAAGCTGAGATTATTTAAGAAGAAAGCAACAACCCATGCATATGAGGTATATAGGAACTCAAGTCATATAAATTCTAACAGCAAGTGTAAAAAACATGTTTATACCTGATATAATCCCCAGATGAGTTACCAACTCGAAGACCTATTTGGAGAGTGGTTAATCACATCAAAAAAGCTAGAAATGCTTGACTCAGAATGTGCTCTAGAATCATGCTCTATGGTAATACTGTAAAACCATTACAGGAGGGTTGTCATTGATGTATATAAAATAAATCAAATCTTATAAGAACCTGGACAGCTTTTCAGTTGAGAGCTTAATTATATAGACTAGAAATAGCCATTAAGTGTATTACTCTTATATGAGATACAAAAAATCAAAACTGTGTAGAGGTTCTCAATGCAGTTCTGTGAATTAATTGTCTTACTGCGGGAAAGTATATAATGATAATAGTCACATTGGTTTCTATTTTACTAAGTATTATAAATTTAGCAAGCATAACTATTTATCATGTTATTAAACTTATATTAATAAGGCCACAGGTGCTATTTTATATGTCAGATCATCAGATTTCAGTAGAGGAATAGTAAATTGTAAGCGGACAGCACTTATGATAAATATCCTGTTTTTCTTAGCTGTATTGCTAATAACAGGATTTAGGTATGCTGATAAACAAGCCAAACTGGAAAGAATAAAGAATTTCTTTTTATAGGAGTTTGATAATTGTATGTGCTATATTAGCAGGACAAGTAGGATAATTAGGCAGAAGTCTGACATGATATTGAACACTGCCACTGACATAAAAATAGCGGTCTTGTTAATACATTTTTCTGGAAGTGCGATGTTCCAAGACTTTGATATTGGCTGATAAGTAAAGATAAAACAAGTAACTAGAGTGCATGATTCTAGGGATATTAACACTATAACGACAACTAGAACGGTACGGAGCCACTGGGTATCTGTGATAATGATGACTTGATGTAGGAATAATATTTGAGAAAGCCGGGTTAGATATATCCTGAAAACAAATGAACAGAATACTGAGAGAAGCAGCTGGGAATGTTAACCCAAGATCTACCTTAGATAATAGTAGATGTTCATGATATACCTTCTGATATATATCAATAGTCTTCTCATTTAGGTACCATATGTGATGCCCAAGACCTGCGTGGCTTAAAGCCCCTTTTTTCTTTGTAAGCCCCGCTAAAGAGTGAAATTAAAGATAAAATCTCACATAAGATTATCACTTGGGTCGCTATGCTACAAGCCTGTGATTTTTGAGAAGTCTGAGTAATTTGGTGTACAGTAACTGGCACTTACCCAAGACAGTATAAGACAGACTGTAAGAGGTATGATTAGTATCCACCATCGGTCAGTTATCTTGTATACCTACTTACCATCCTCGACACTGAGCTTGTGGGTTGTTTGGTACGAGGCCTGCAGACGTATAGCCAGACAACATGAGCAGGATATCATACCCAAGATAAAACTACAGTAGATGGGGTAATACAAGTATGCAGGAAACATGATAAATCAATGGAAATAATGTTCCTGAGTACTTGGTCATCATGTGGAAGGGAGGAGTGCTATTTCAGCCTTTTATTATATAATTATCGGCAACTGATTTAGCACATATAAATTAGAGTGGGGAAGCAAATGATGTCATTTTATATACAACAGACTTAATGGAAAAGTAAAACACTGGGTTCTACTAGTAAGCGATACAGAGGCGACCGTTATTGCATTCCATGTTGGCAAACATTGACGCATACTTCAAACCCTAGTCACATGATAGGCTAATCCTGATATGGCTACTTCCGTATCGACAGTCTCGTTCCAAGCATGAATGGTAAATCTGAAAACCGTATGAAACATAAGCTGTAGGGTACTGTACTGCTCGATAAATAACCTGTCGACCTAAGCGGGTAGTAAGTCATTAACCCCACCTGCCCCTACCATGCAAAATTATCAAAGTCTTAGCAGTCCGAGCTTTCTACACTGTCTCACATGCGGGGACACATGTGGTTATTACGCAGCCCTGATCCGTCTGTCCGGCCACTCCATGCATCACTGCTGCGGTTTCAGATATCATTTGTGACATCCCGTTGAGAAAACTGCCTACATATTGTGAAAATAGTAGGTTCTTTGGGATGAGTTCAACGTATTCATGTCATCTTCCAGCATTAGACGCATTCTCACACTACCTGGACTGGACAAAAACTAAAGCCGCCAACGACACCTATGCCCATGAATCAACCGGGCTTCAGTCATATTATTCGATATTGTCGGTGAGCCCGGATCTGACTTAGTAATGGGATATAGTCAGGCGGACTGGCTGGTCACCCCTCATCTTGACCCCGGTCTACACGCCAGATTTTATTGGGTCTCGTTGCGTATCTGTGCAGGGATTGCGGATTCAAATTAGCGCCACGTGACACCAGCGGCACAGCCTTGCTCCTTTTCCATGTCAGCCATGGGCGATGCGCGCCCTTCCTCGGATTTATCTCGAAGAAGGCGTCTCGCCCTTTGTACTGGTTATCAATACCAATCCCACAGACAAGTCAAGCCCAGTGTTAGCTGACACCAAAGCAAGATGGCCCGTCGCCTCAGTCACCACGACTATACGGTCGGGTGGGTATGCGCCTTGCCGGATGAGCTCACTGCCGCACAGGAGATGCTTGACGAAGAACATCAAGACCTCCCTCCGAATCACACCGATTCGAATATATATACGCTAGGATCTATAGGGGCCCACAACGTCGTTCTGGCGTGTCTGCCTGCAGGCCAGACGGGTAACAATTCTGCTGCGGCAGTCGCCATGCAGATGAAGAGCACGTTTCCGGCCGTTCGATTTGGGCTGATGGTGGGAATAGGGGGCGGCGTTCCAAGTAAAGAAGCGGATATTCGGCTTGGTGACGTTGTGGTCAGCCAGCCGGGAAACGGTCATGGCGGGGTGGTGCAATACGACTTTGGAAAGTCAATACCAGGCGAGTTCAAGCGGACGGGGTTCCTTAACGCTCCACCTATGATTCTACTCGCTGCCGTTACGAAGCTTCGATCCAACCTCGACCGACGAAGAAGTAGTCTGTCGCTGCACCTGTCAAAGCTTAGTATCCTTCGCAAGTTTAGCCGCGATCAAGCTGGGAGCGATATGCTGTTTGAAGCAGAGTACAATCATGCTGGAGAGGATGACTGTTCATCATGCACGGCCACGAGAACGATACAAAGGAAGGGGCGGGCGGATAATACACCCATGATTCACTACGGTACAATCGCATCGGGGAACCAGGTGATGAGGGACAGTGTAAAACGGGACAGGATCAGCTTCGAATTCGGAGGAGTTCTCTGCTTCGAGATGGAGGCAGCTGGCCTGATGAATAACTTCCCGTGCCTCGTGATCCGCGGAATCTGCGACTACGCTGACTCGCACAAGAACAAGAGATGGCAGCCGTATGCTGCGGGAACCGCAGCGGCATACGCGAAGGAGTTACTGGGAGTAATACCGGCGCCGGATATAGTGAACACAAAAACCGTCGAGGAAGCACTGCGAGGTTAGTCTAGGTATCACGCCTCTAAAATTAGAATTAAGTCTCACACTCTATAGAGACAAAGCGTACCTTCTACCTCCCCTTGCAACGGAATCATAGATTTGTCGGTAGAAGTGGAGAGCTCGATACGCTGAAACAGAAGCTCCTTGTGAAGAAAGATTGCCAGAAGGTGACACTCAGCGGCCTTGGCGGTATCGGTAAAACACAAGTCGCGCTACAGTTCGCATACTCTGTCAAGATGGACTGTCCGGAATTCTCCATTTTCTGGGTACAAGCGTTGAGTATGGAATCTTTTGAGCTGGGCTGCAGGGAGATAGCAGGGGCATTAGGAATACGCCACGAGGAAGAAAGCAGTGAAGATGTGAAAATCTTACTGCGGCGACGTCTATCCGCGAAGACCGCAGGAAAGTGGTTGCTAATTGTCGACAACGCTGATGACCTTGACTTACTTCGTGGGACCTACCAAACAGAAGGCTTGCTCGCCTTTCTGCCGGAAAGCGATGATGGCCTGACCCTCTTCACAACGCGACATGGAGCCGTGGCGCAATATTTGACGGGCAGTGATGTTGTTGAGATCGGAAAACTAACGGGACAGGAGACGACGGAATTGTTAGAGAAGTCTTTGGTTCGAAAGAGCCCTTCTGACAACTCTAAGACTGTGATGAACCTTCTTGCGGAGCTAGAATATCTCCCGTTGGCTATCACCCAGGCGGCGGCATATATTAACGCAAACAAAAGCTCTATCTCCGAGTATTTACGCTTACTAAAACAGACAGAGCAAGATGCTGTTGCACTTATAAGCACGGAGTTCGGCGATAAAACACGATACAGGAACTTGCCAAACACAGTCGCGAAGACATGGACAATGAACTTTAACAAGATTCTCGAATATGACACATTAGCGGCAAATCTCCTCGCATTTATATCTTGCATTGAGTGGAGGGCAATCCCATACTCTATTTTACCAGCAGCCTATCCCGAAGCACGGCTGGCAGGGGCCATCGGTACACTCTGCTCCTACTCATTTCTGGAGAGAAGAGATAGTGGCATGAAATTCGATATGCATAGGCTTGTCCACTTGGCGACCAGAATATGGGTAAACCAGAACGGTCATGAAGCAGAAACGAAAATAGCGGCGTTGAAACACATCGTGGAAGTCTTTCCCTCCGACGACTACATTAACCGTGAGGTCTGGCGGGATTACCTGCCGCATGTGGCACGTATAAAGAAGGATAAGCAGTGCCAAGATACAGAGGAGATGAGCAAGCTTTGTTTGAAAGTCGGGCGGTGCTTACGCGTTGATGGGCGAATAAAAGAAGCTGTTCTCTGGCTAGAGGAGTCTTGCAAGTGGAGGGATGGAGGTCTCGCCCAAGACAATGCGGATCGGCTTTTATCGCAGCACGAGCTCGCTATAGCATATGAGGCCAATGGACAGGTCAAAGAGGCAGTCAAACTGCTTGAACATGTGGTCGCGATACGGTCGGAAGTATTCGCAGAAGACCATCCCTCACGACTGGTCTCGCAGCACGCGCTTGCTGGAGTATATCAAGCTAATGGACAGGTCAAAGAGGCAATCAAACTGCTTGAACATGTGGTCATAATACAATCACATATATTCACAGAAAATCATCCTCTACGACTAGCATCACAGCACGAGCTCGCTCAAGCATACAAGGCTAATGGACAGGTCAAGGAGGCAATCAAAATGTTTAAACATGTAATCACAATACAATCACATGTATTCACAGAAGACCATCCCTCACGACTGGCATCACAGCACGCGCTTGCTGGAGCATATCAAGCCAATGGACAGGTCAAGGAGGCAATCAAACTGCTTGAACATGTGGTCGCGATACGATCGGAAGTACTCACAGATAACCATCCCTCACAACTGGCATCACAGCACGAGCTCGCTCGCGCATATCAAGATAATGGACAGGTTAAGGAGGCAATCAAACTGCTTGAACATGTAGTCGTGATACGATCTGAAGTACTCACAGATAACCATCCCTCACAACTAGCATCACAGCACGAGCTCGCTCGAGCATATCAAGCTAATGGACAGGTCAAGGAGGCAATCAAACTGCTTGAACATGTGGTCACAATACAATCAGAAGTGCTTGCAGAAGACCATCCTGATCGACTGGCGTCACAGCACGGGCTCGCTGGAGCATATGAAGCCAATGGACAGGTCAAAGAAGCAGTCAAACTGCTTGAACATGTGGTTGCAATACAATCATATGTATTCGCAGAAGACCATCCTGATCGACTGGCGTCACAGCACGAGCTTGCTCGAGCATATGAAGCCAACGGACAGGTCAAGGAGGCAGTTAAACTGCTTGAATATGTGATTACAATACAATCACATGTATTTGCAGAAGATCATCCTTTCCGGCTAGCATCGCAACACGTGCTCGCCCGCGCATATCAAGCCAATGGACAGATCAAGGCAGCAGTAAAACTGCATGAATATGTGGTTGCAATACAATCACATCTATTCGCAGAAGACCATTCCTCACGACTGGCAGCACAGCACGGGCTCGCTCGAGCATATCAAGCCAATGGGCAGGTCAAGGAGGCAGTCAAACTGCTAGAACATGTGGTCACGATACGATCAGAAGTACTTGCAGAAGACCATCCCTCACGACTGGCATCACAGCACGCGCTTGCTGGAGCATATCAAGCCAACGGACAGGTCAAGGAGGCAGTCAGACTGCTAGAACATGTGGTCGCGATACGATCAGAAGTGCTTGCAGAAGACCATCCTGATCGAGTAATATCGGCGAGAAGCCTTGCTGCTTTTAACGAGGATTTGATGAAAGGATCCAAAACAAGACAGGCTTCTGAAACTCCACAAGCGATGTCCGACAACAACATCCCTTCCCCTGCGTTGGCAGATCGATCGCCAGCAGAACAGGAAACGAAGCCAAGCTACGCGTCGAAAAAAAGACTTCTCGTGAGGCAGCTAAAGGGCCTTTTCAAGAAGGATAAGGAATAGTACGTTCTTTATTCCGTACATACTGTAACCCCTATCATCACACCTGTTGTTAAACACGAAAGATCCTGCTCGAATTCTGCAGCTAGTTCACCGTCAGTATCCAATTGGTATTTGTAGAATTATAGAACTTTTCGAAACTACTGACAGACAGTCTGTACGTACTGTTGTATTTCACGGCTGCGCCTTCGGCTTGGATTAGCCAAAGTTGTTTCTTCCTCTTTTGCAGCATGCCTTTGATGCCTGCTTTAAGGTCTCCCGCCAGCGCCCTCGAGGAACTAAGCCTTGCGATTCAGCACAAATTTCCAGGCGACCCTATATCTCTGTAGATGCTTGTCATATTTCCCTATCCCGCCAACAGAAATTTGACGTGATCTGACTACGGCTTGTTGCACGTTCCGCCGCGTGTCTCAGACGGTAACTAGCGGGTATGTAGCCAAGTTATCGGGAGTGAGGGCATATAAGAAATCCTCGTCCCATGGCTATCGGATGGTATCATCATGTTGTACGTACAAAACCTGTTATTTACGAAAAGCTCATATCGGGGTTAGCGCATCATGTGATTAGGGTTTCAAAAGGCACTTCTATGTTTCCGACATGGAATGCAATAACGGTCGCCTCTATAGCTAATTGCAGCCACTCATGCAGTCATTTACTTTGCGAACTCCCACACCATGTTAAACCCTAGTCATTCTGAATCAGCCTTCCTTTTCTTTCCTCGCAGGGGCAAGATACAGTGCACATCCTCCAAATGCCATTTCAATTCCATCAGACTCTCTAGGTTCTCCGAACAGGCTGGGTGCCGGCAATAATATTGGTTGGATAGTACCTCTGAGGAAAGATAGGAGTTAATGTGACTATCCCATTTGCTGCAATCAAGAAACTGTTTCATGCGCTCATGAGGCTTGAGACTGCTATCTCCGAGACAAAATGGGCAGTATGCTGCTTTAGCCAGAGCATGTCGGAAAACTAAAAGGTCGCAGCGGAGCAAATCATCAGGCTTTGTCAAGTGGTGTTTGTAATGCGATGTCCACTCTTCAGGCTTTGTGAACCAGCAACAACAAGCAACACAGCACTGTGCAAAATCCGCAGGGCTCTGTTTGCAAAAGTACTTCTCATAACAGTCATATAAATGGGACCAACGGCGGTGAGGATGATGACTATGCTGTTAGTAGATATTACTTATATCAGAGCAAATACTTACACTGTAAGCAAGCATCCATAAAGACACTCCCTATTCACAGATTGCATTCCTGCACTATAGGTACTCGCACTACGACCTGCATATATAGCTTCAAGGGCTTCTAGAGCTGCTCTCCCTGTGGGGCTTTACAGGGAGTTGTTCCTGGGAAGAAGCTGAACAAGTAAATCGCGCTCTGGCATCATCTTTCATGTGTAATAAAAAAGTATCTGTTCATATATAGCAGTCGGCTGTATAACCAACGTTCTCCTCTGTATTTACTGTAAGATTTGGAGTTCTTATACATAATGCCTCTGCTTTTCGTTGTATATTTAATATTGCCCTAGCTGCACTTTCTTCTTACTAATAGAATCCTAAAGCTTGCTCAGCTCATTAGTAAGACATTGCATTTGTTAATCAAGTTCAATGATATCCGGTCACTCCTGAAACTCGAACTCTGCTTTGGCGGGGAGCGACTGCCAAAGTTATAGATGCCTGTGAATTCCCATACTGCGCTGGTTTTATATATGCTCATGACAGCCAGGAATGCCAAGATAGGTGGCCGGTTCATCTACTTCAGAGAGTGGGTGTGCATATAATCTGCTAAAAGTACCCTTATTAACATGCCCTGCAAACTTCATTCTTGTAGTTTCAGAATAGCTTTTATCTGTGTAAGCCCAACATTAGTGAGGAATAGAGAAGATATATAGATTACTTACCAGCTTCCATCAGTGCCCATCGGCGGCAGGCACGCCCTGTAATATTTTCTGTATAGTCTGCATGATGTTCAAGTTCTGCAAGTTCTTTACCAAAAGAATCCGCTCTGCGAGATCAACCAGTAGAATCCTCAACTGCCTGCTCATCGTATGGCCGAAAGATGGGAATGTTTTCCATCTCTGGTCTAAGTTCGACTTTAGCAATTATTTTCTCATCATTATCACCCTGCATGTTTTCAGCTGCATCCATGATCTCACCAACAGACATATAGTCTATGAAGGCGCGATCTGCGCATGCCATAGGGAGAAAGAACATCAAGAGATTGAAAAAAAGAGGAGCCTCTGTTTTATATATTTCATAGAACCCATGAATTGGGAGCTGCTATTTCTTTTTCTTTTAGTAGTCTTTTACATAGACACAGGAATATGTAAGAACAAGTATCTTGATACCGTTCACCCACTCAATAATAAGTATAAAGTGCTATTCGGGAGTCAGTCTATTAGATAAAATTCTGCTGAGGAAGAGATACCTTATAATATACTGCTAGAATACGAGCTTCAAGATCACCATCATCACCGCCATAACTGGTACTCAAGCTCGTCTTCTTCCATGACAGTTCTCGATGAGCTGTAGATTCATGCACCTTTCCAGTCCTTGCTGACATAAAACAGTATAACAGCAAAAAGGCGCTAAGCTGGACTCGCGACCTGTCAGGGTATTTCTCGCGGTACTCTTTGAAATCACAGCACCAGAGGTGTGTTAGAATAATCATGAGATCGTTAGGTGATACAGAGTCTTTGGGCATTTCATCCTCGCAAAGTAGGACAGTTTCTTTAAGATTATTCGCGATATAATCTTGAATTGTTGTGGATATATGAGTCGGCATATCATAATCACGATGTAGACGGAGTGCAGACTCGAACCGCCGGCGAAATCCCTCCATTATTTCAGATGTAGGAAATTCTCCCAGCCGACCTTGTGTATTTTTGCTCACAAATTCCATAAATCCTTTGTAAGTTCATATATCGGGCGGATCTGAGGCGCTGGGATATAGCTTAAGAAAGCTGGATTCCGTAAGTGGGAGACATGCCTAGAAAAAAAAGGTTTTCTAACTCATTAAAAAGACTTAAAGTCCTATCATACTGGTTCTCAGTCCGACCCAATACCCTGGATTTGCGTTCTGAGTTGTCATGGTCGTCGAGGTTGACTTGCTGATAGACTTTTAAGCATACTCGTTTCACCACCATACTTAGCAGTATACATCGGAGCACAGAGAGAAGAGCGAACATGTGGAGGATAGAAGATACAGATTCTGACTAGTGAAAGAGAAGAACAGGTCTTATATCCGGTCAGCCTGGCTGCCCCGGTCAGCACATCCCGGTAGCGCAGCACGTTTTAGAGGGGTCGGCTCAGGACGCTGACAGCGCCCCCGAAGCGACCTGAAGATGACTGAATGGACTGAATAAAGCAGCGATGGGCCAATCTGGGGCGCTCGGTGACCACCGACATACACCTTCTGTTCTTATCTTTCCAAAGTGTCCCGCTAGCGGATCATCATGATATAGACAGATAAGCACCTGGCGTAGCGTCTCGGAGGAAGGAATGTAATAGCGGTCTTTGAAACACAAATGACCAGTAGTCCTTACTGTCCAGTACTTTTGGCCTGGTTGTCTTTATTAAACGGCAGCTTTTCGCCGTTATGTCTCTGGATCTTCATTCTGCAAACGCAAGATCATTTCTTGTAACTCAGGATTACTATTCTTTGAGTACAAAACTTCTGCGGTACACACTCGTGTCACCGTAGACTGGGGAACAAATGCCTCTCTAGACAAGTTCTCCCAGGCAGCCCAGTCAGCTGTCTCTATACCGGCTCGACCATTGGGGTCCTTTGAGCTCAACGCAATGCAGGTATCGAACCCAGGATAACCCTGCGCATCTCGAGATTCAAACTGGGATTTCTCTTTAACTAAGTCCCTTATTATCAGGGATGAAACACCCACAAATCGCTCTCAGATTGGGGTCAATAATTCTTCTTGTGAAGCAGGTTCTACCTGGGACCCCGAAGGCATTCTAGAAGGTCCGTCCGCGGGATTTGACTTTCCTGTTCTATATTTAATGATAAAATCATAAGGGATCAGGCTCATAAGCCATCGAGCTTGCCTCCCATTAATCCTGGTTTGACGCATGAAGGATTGCAAGTTTAAATAATCAGATAAGACTTCAATAGTTTAGGGAGCACCTTCGAAATACTGTCGCCACTGTTTAAAGAAGTAAACAATAGCAAATAGCTCCTGATCTGGAGTACCATAGTTTAACTCAGCGCCGGAGAACTTACGAGACCAAAAAGCAACTGAATGGAATACACCCTTATCATCAGGTTGGGATAAGATACCACTCATCCCTTCCTTTAATGCATCAGTTTCTAGACGTCGGGGTTTCGTAGGATTGAAGTGCATTAGTAGAGGTGCTTGTTGAAAGACAGTGATTAAGCAGCAAAAGACAAGCCGCTCATGTAGATTTAGGCAGATTTTCCCAGGTTTTCAACCGTTAACTGCTCCGCGAAGTAGGGAGGTAAGAGGCAAGGCAATTTATGAGTAGTCTTGAATGAATCGACGGTAGAAGTTGCAGAATCCTAGGAAGACCTGGATATCATGGTAACTTTCGGGAATCGGCCACGAAACAATATCGTTTACCCGTTGAGGATCCATGGATACTCCATCGGCATCGATGATATATCCTAGGAATTCAACTTGGGATTGGTAAAACAAACACTTGGATGGCTTGGCATAGAGTTGAGCTTCTCGGAGTCTTTCTAGCACTTGATGAATGTGCCTTGTATGAGATTCATTATCAGGTAAGAAGATAAGGATATCGTCAAGATACGCCACGCAAAAGTCATCAAGAAGTCCACGAAGTGCCGTGTGTATATAGTTTTGGAATGTTGCAGAGGCATTAATTAGCCCGAATAACATGACAGTATATTCAAAGTAGCCGTATCGGGTGCAAAATGCTGTCTTCCATTCATCACCTTCCTTAATGCGGATTCGGTAGTAGACATCCTTGACATCGATCTTCAAGAAGTATTTGCTACCCGAGACCCTGTCAAGAATCTCTGAAATAAGAGATAAAGGGTAGCAATTCTTCACCAAAATCTTATTAAGACCCCTGTAGTCCACGCAAAGGCGTAAACTACCATCTTTCTTGGGTACAAAGAGGATAGGGGCCCCTGCAGGGCTCTTGGAAGGTTAGATTCAGCCCAGTTTCAGATTCTCTTCAATATATTCTCGTAAGATCTTGAGTTCAGCTTCCGATAAGGGGTATATAGGTCCGTAAGGGGGTGTCTCGCCAGGTTTAATGTCAATGGCGTGGTCCGCAGGGCCATGAGGGGGAAGTTATTGGGAGAAATCTATAGAGAATACATCTCGGAACTCTTGGAGTTTGATTGGGATTACTTCTGGATTCAGAGATAAATCATAAGGTCTTTCCTCCGGTAGCCAAACGTCTTCGGGGAGCTTGACGATGGCATACACCCTTGCCGAGTTCCGGGTTGCTTTATTGAATTGGGTGGTAGAAAGAAGGGAAATAGATGGTACGCTGAACCACCACTGTCGATTCCATGCCGATAAGTTAATGTAAAGGTCTTGAAGCGTAGTCATCGATAACAGGATCAGGCTGCCTTCCAAGCGAGGGTCTCGGTCGATCCCTACACAATACCATTCGAAAGTACGGGTGCTCCCCCGCGAATCGGTAGCGGTAATAGGGACTTTCCATACACCGTAGGTGGGAGTAAAAAGTGATTTGGTTGACAGCTTCAATCCTAGGTGCAGTGACCGGGGCACATTAGAGATGGTATGCCTTAGCGAATTAGTGGCTAATGACATCCACTTCAGCGCAACTATCTAAGTCCGCAAACGTTTCGAGACTGTTTCGAACGCGAATAGGAACATGAAAACGATGAGTAGTCCCTACTTCGGATAAAGGAGTTGGAATCATAAAATTTATTTCAACTCCTCTACTTTTCCCTCAGAGTCCGATGAATATTAGTAGGTTTTGGCGGATTAAACCTTCTTGCTTCCAGGAGGATATTGATTTGCAAGATACTAGATACTATTACATATAAAGCATCACAATCGATTACCATCCTTTCCGATGGGATTTTCCTTGCAGTTCGATGCATCTTCTTTAGGTGGTCTGTTAGGATGACCTTGGAGACGTTTATACGGTTTATAGCTGCCGAATCGGTCGTTGTTTCACTTGCATTTCCGTCTATTAGTCCATAATTCATAGTAATGGGTAGCAATGGCCACCATTTCGTCCCGTTCTTCCGGTAAATGGGGGACATGTTCCTGAATATAATAATTAAGATCAGGTAGTAGCTTAGCAAAGTATGATAAGGCTCTTTCTTTCTCTGCCTGACGAGGAAAGTATTGCTCTAAGATATCAAGATAAGCATGAAACTCTCTCGGATCTTGATTGTATCACTGGTGAGCCCGTTCAAGTTGAGCCATGGTGTCGGATTGGAGGGTAGCAGCATTCCAGATCAGGGTAAGAGTCCAATCCTTGAACCGAGGCCATGATTTCTCGAGGAATTGTCTTGCTTCCGGACTCTTATCGTCAACAAAACAATACCATCTCTGCCTACACGCAGGATCCATATAACTGATAACAGCGAGTATCTTGCACTCCTCAGAGAAATACTTCTTGGAAGCCCCTCAAAACATATATTCCAGATCAGTGATCCATTCTTGACACTTTTGAAGATTGAAGTTTAAGACAAAGCAGGGGATATCTTTGAACTTAATCTCTCCCTTATCTTTTTCTGATTCGGAAGAGGATCGATAGTGCCTAGAGGAGGTCTCGCCCGGGGGACTATTCCTCTGGAGGTGAGCTATTCTTCTCCGCAGGTTGGTGGCCTGTTCCAATCAATAGACATGATCTTCTAACTATTAGATTTCCTCAGCGGTGGGAACAGTATTCAATGATGATTCTGGATCAATACAATCACTAGACGCCTCCCTTTCTTCACTGTCTTCAAGGGGTGGCATCTTCCTTAGGTAGTCGGAATGGGAAAGATCAGAATATGATAGGATCTACTTGTCAGGGTAGAAAGCCTGTCGACTAGGTAAGGAATCAGCCACGAAACGCAGTAGATTGATTTAATAAAGACAAAGGTAGCCTATATCCACGAAATAGACTGATCCTTGAGGGATCAGTAGTTCATTACAAAGGAATCGGCACCTTATAGGCGTCGGGGAGGTGTAGAACCTCTACCGATGACCTCACGACTCTCATAACCACTGTAATACGTCATTCCGATGCCCAAGGCCCCGATAGCTAGGTCGTTCTATTACAGAACGGGTGTAGGAACAGGTATAGAAATATGTATAAAAACTATAATGAAATAACGCTTTCTGGTAAGTGCTGTAGGTGTATTTTGATTTGTATCTGTATATTATTATAAGATCTCAGATACTACTATTTTTATGTGTTGTTTTATTTTCTTTTCTACTTTCTTTTTTAGATATGTAAAATAAGTCTTATCTGTTTTATTATAGATTAGAATTCTGTTTTTTATTTATATAAAGATTTTTTTTTAAATATCTGATATTGAGCAGCGCGAGTCTCCTGTATTTAATAGGATTCGTGTAATTTATAATAGAGTAATTTAATACTGCGATACTTATATATATAGTAGTTTTTTAAATATTTATATAACTTCTCCCTGTCGGATCCCGTGGTTGATTTAAGTGAGTAGAGTATTTTATTAAACTGTTCTTCCAGTAGAGAAGATGATGTAGATAAAATATTAGTTAAAATTAATATATTTAATATTTCTGTAGTATTAGAATAATTAAATTCTGTTTATTTAAATACTGTTTTTTCATTAATTAACTAGATTCCTGATCTTTATTATTCTGACTTAATTATTTCTGGTATTATAGAATCTTCCTGTGCTGACTACTATAGAGATAAGAATTTATACTTTGAAATATTAATTTGATCTGTCTGGAAGCTCTGCTGTACTTAATTATTATAATATCTATTTTGTGACGGCGAGTGACGTCTCAGGGTCACGTGACTTCTGTTTTGTTTGCTTTGTTTGCCGCCTCGCATGGCTCGCTTACCTTTGTATAATCACACGTTCTCCCTGAGCTTCTTCCTTTCTTTTCTTATGCTAGAAATTCTCGTTAGATAACACCAAATTTGACTATTTAATCAACTTCCATATAATTTCTAGCATCACTTCATCTTCCATTCCCTAAGTTGACATTGTACACCACCAGCTACCTAGCTCGGCAGCTGGTGTCATCCCTTACGCGTACTTAGCAACGCTAAATACAGCTAAGATAGAACAACCTGACCAAGACCTGAACTAGAACAATCAGCAAGAACACTTATAATAGCCAAAGAAAGCCACACCGAATCAGCACTAAGTACTGTGAACCCTTGATAATACCTGACAACCCTGCTAGGAGAAGAGTCTGATAACAGAAAAAATATTACCCATGACCAGTTCCATGAACTGTATATAAAGAATTCTAATAAAATCTTTAATATGATCCTCCGTATTATAGAAGAAGTAAAGATAGAGATGTACAAGGCTGTCCGCCAGCAGGACAAGCTTAATAATAACTGTAATAAATTAACACGCGAATATGATCTATACACTGTCCAGCTTCTCTAGCTTAACAACCAGAGCAGCCGAGTAGCTGAGGCCTCTGAATCTAAGAAATTAATAAAGATCCCTGACCCACCTCTGTTCAGCAATAGCAAGACTATCAGCTTCGAAGACTGGCTCCTCATAATACAGCAGAAGCTGGAAGCCAACACAGACCACCTGAGCACAGCTGCTGTCCAACAAGCTTACATAACCAGCCACTGCAAAGGCAATACTAGGAAGCATCTAGTCCCCCAACTCCATTCTAACACTCTAAACCCCTATGCGGACGCAACCGACATGCTTGAATACCTAAAAGTCATTTATACCAATCTAAACAAGTCTCACAATGCGCGCCGACAGTATCAGGAGCTCAAAATGGCGGTTAGTGACAAGTTTTACAGTTTCATATCTACATTCCGCTACCTCACCGTAGAGGCAGGTATTGCTGAAATCTATTAGAAAGAGAATCTCTACCAACACCTACTGCTCAAGCTACAGGAGCTGACCATGTCCCGCTTCAATAATAATAACATAACATTTGAGCAGTATGTCAAGAAGTGTGCCCAATTATCAGATTTAATCAATAATATAATAAAATGCCGCGGTAAGACAAGCATCCCAAGTTGCCAGCTACCTACATCAACTACTACTACTACTATGACCACAACCTCCTCCACCCTGGCCAAGACCTCCTGTAACACCAGCCACGCCACCAGCATGGAGCCGGAGGAACACACTCATATAATAGCTGAAGAACACTGTTTCATCTGCCAGGAACAAGGATACTTAGCCCGGGACTGTCCGAAGAAGAAAGCAGATCAAGTCAAGCTATTAGAGACAGTAGAAGATAGTGATTTAGCAAAAAACAGTACCTAAAAGAAGTCTTCTTTCTAGGCGAAACAAGTGTCAACATCAATTTATTAGATTTACGAGATCTGCTAGGCCAAGAGAATAAAAGCTTTACTATTAAAATTCTAATATTAAATAATGGACTAGCAGTATCTACATGTACCCTTACTGATACCGGAGCTAATACCTACACTTGCATAAATACTGCCTTCACTATTCAGATAACCTGTTAATTCCGAATTAATACCATCCCCCTCAAGACTAACTATACTATTACA